GTTCTCGAGCCAAATATTTTTTAAATGCGACCTGAATCATTTTCAGATTCAGTTTCAGTCTTACTTTAGGGCTTTCAGCTTTTAAATTCTTCTTTGGAGTTTTTCTGGAGATTTTATGCAAATCTGAATACCATTGGCAAACAGTAAATGGCTATCAGTGTTATTGATTTATCTTCGGTCCCAAATTTTCCAGTGGATTGTTTTGAAAATCTTTTACGAGGCTGCATGAAAAATTCTTGCAAATGATGGTGATGAAGTTTCTTCCTTTATTTGATTACCTGGCTCCGACACGCCCTCATGCAGTTTGGGGGTAAACCGACTGACTCTAAATCGACGAATCCCAGAGGGAGAGGAAGCCAATATCTTTTTTCTGCATGATGAATGTATAATACGGTGTTTTCATTTCAATCGCACTCCGTGAAATATAACATTAGTGGCATAAATATCATTTCAGCTCGAACCCTTTACCAAGGTTTAGGATGCTGCAGTACTCTTATTAAAATCATGGCTGCTTCTAGCAATGTCACCTACAGTTTATCCACCTTGACCGCTTTATCAAGTATTATAGAAGTTCTGTTATATTAGTATATGACGCAGCATGACGCACTATTATAAACTCTAATATATCGTTTTATGTTATGTTTCGATAAGTTCTATTGCAGGGCACATAATACATAAATTCTGATCACATGATACATACCAACTATGTAAATATGGCATTTTTGTGGCATTCCTATAAGGAATATGAATGCCGGGAGAAAATACTATTACAAGAATAATAAATTCCGGAATCGAGACAGAAAGACGGGCCAGCGTGACTCTACACCACTGACATCGTACTTTGAAACAATTAGGAATGATTCCAGTTAAGAGGAACACACATTACCGGAGAAGGAAAGAAAAGGCTTCGTGGCCTGCATATCTTCTCTTTGCGTCATAATGGGCTTCGATAACGACGTAGGGCATTATTACTCGCGAAACATGTTCTATATTTAATAGGTCATATGCTGCCATAGGATCTTCGTGAAAGGAGAAGTTGAATGTCATTTAAAATTTAAATGAATCCTTTTGAGGACATCACTTTAACCCTTTGTCCACCCTCCCTGAAGCTACATTTCGCTCTAAGCGATTGGCCATAATTCTGTTTTGCCCAATGACAACAGCCAATAGGAAACATAACTGTGATTATTCGGCGATTCCTTCTCAGTGCCTAGAAAATACTCTGATTCTGAGTGGTAATCACGTCGCGCTGATCAATAACTTCATGACAAAATGAGGCTATTAATAAAAGGGTCATTTGGCATCACAACGAACCTAACAGATCCAGTTGCGGATTAACGCATTGTCTCCTACACAAAGAGCGGTCAGGTCAAATAACAACCGAACTAGCACAGTCATGCATTTCCTTTTTTGTTTCCAATCGTTAGCAGTAACAGGGCCGTCGTAGTGTCAGCGACTGTTTTGTTGTTCTTCTAATGACTGTGTTAATGAAACCAAATGATGTGTTTACTTCCAGTGCCTGTTGCAGTGTTGATATGAGTTTAAAATAGGTATGAACCTTAAATTAATTTTTTTATTATTAATTCGTTAGCTTTGGTTCCTAGTCTTTAAGTAATCACCGGAGTTAGCTCCTCCAGTTTACGTGCTGTTTGTTGACGTGGCGACAACGCCTATGACTGGATCCTGCGCAATGAGCGTACCTACAAACCTATGGGATGGATGGCTAATTGCTAAGAACCATACAATCACTTTATCTTGATAGCACCTGCTGGGTCATAGAAAATGGCGTTAAGTCGAACGATCAGTGTTGGCACCTTTCAGCGTTGATATTGGTCTCTGGCAAGACTGCGTCCTGTCCCTTCTTCTGCTTCTGTTGTGCGTAGGCTTCCCGCGGTACCCTTGACGATTCGCAGGGTCAGACGAGTGCCATTGTAAAACTGACATTTCACAGTTAGTTGCCGTCCATTGCTATTGCTATCATTATATATTTGGCAGGGCTAGATGGCACGTTGCCAAGTTTGTCTATAGGTTTACGAAATGTTTGAATAGTATCTGATTATTCCTCTGAACCTTCGCCTTGCTGATTGACAGGCATTACCCACGTACCTCAGGATCGTATTTACTGCTGACAGAAACTTGTAGAAAGAGATCGATCGGGGAATTGAATGGGTAATGGCCTTCTGCATGAACTAACTCAAACCCCTGAGACTGATGTAGAGCTGCGTCAGAGAAGTAAGCTGTCTGTATTATGGTCGATCTTCATATCCAAGATCATCTATGGCGAACAGTGGTCTATAATTCTGAACCTTCGATACCGGGTACAAGCGGCTGAGATGGGTTTTATGAGGCAAATCTCAGGACTTACGCGTTTCGACGTGGTGCGAAGTTCAGATATCCGATAAAGGCTTGGTATATGGCCACTGCATCTCTAGATTGAGAAGTCAGGCTGTAATGGTTCCGGCACGGGGGGTTCGGGGTTTGGGTTTGAATAATTGCAAAAAGGACACCGAGCAGTTGCCACATGTCCAGCCAGCGAGTTGAAGACCCAGGGGCATGCAAAGAATTGCCTGGAACAAATGTTTCGACCGACTCTGCTCCAGGCTTAGGTAGTCGTCTGCAGAAACTGCAACGCTGGAGCAAGATCGGGAAGGTTGGAGGCACAGTCTGGAGCGCTTGCCTCTGCGACCCAAAATTATAAGTGTTCATGAAAGCCACTGATTAGCTTAGATGTACTTCGAAATGATTCAGAATATTCATCCGTAACACAAAATTTCGAAGATGGTAAAAAAGAAGAAAGAAATAGGGGACTGTTGTACTGAAAGGTCAGATCTGGTAGATTATAGAGAAATAAAATCACAAGGAGCTTTCACAGCGGTCAGCACAACTGCACTTCTCGACCAGTCTGGTGTGACCACACCAGAACACCACGCTGTCCCTGTTACTCACAGGTCACCGCCTTTACTAACCTCTTCTTGGCTGGCTGCGCGAATCAACAATGGGTTGAATTCCTGCTCAGGGACTTTCTGGGTTAAGAGAAGTTATTCCTTCAGTGGATGGGAACTGACTACTTTGGAGTTCAAATCCAACCTCTTAGACGCTATGCCACCAAATGTTGTATTCTATTGAAACGCAAATCTTTCCACGCAATTTATTCAAGTGTTCAGGTAGTATTCTAAATCATCAATGCTCAGAGTTTTACAGTAGTGATCTACGATAGACTTGGTGGAAAATTTGACACTCATCGGTCTTGTGGACTTAATTTCATGCGCATGGTATGCAGTCTGCTAGCAGCTGACTATCAAGATGATGGGTGCATCGTTTTAATAACTCACGTCGTTAACTTCAAACTAATTTATTTGAAGAAGTTCTCAAGATCATTAGGACTGCAAATACACGTGGAAAACTATACAAAAGACGGGGTCGTCATATCAGCATTGATGCAGGATTCTAGGCTTGTCGCTTTGGTATGAGACTGATCGATCTGCTATTAACTGGTTGGTTTGTTGATGGTTCGTCACGTCTGAGACATTGCGCCTTTTTTCGCATAGAAAGTGGCAACTTGGTCAGCCGATGCCGGCAATTTGTCTAGACGTCGGCCAGTAAATCAAAGGAAAACGCGAAACTTTCACCCTGAAACGGCTAGCCCTCTGGGCGGTGCTGCGCGGCTGTTAGACTGGAAACTCGGCGCCTTCGGTCATCTGTGCTGCTGACCACGAATATTCCCTCAAACTCCTCGTTTTTGCTAGTACCATAACGCTGAAATGTTCACGTAAGTTTTGACTGCTTGGCAACGCCAGCAGTGGTGCGTTTGCATCGCGGAAGTTGTCTTCGCGTCAGAACAGTTCGACACCTGCCGACGAACGTTGACGAGTCATCGAACGATGGTGCAGACGTATCATCGCTAAATTTATGGTGCAAAGCTTTGAATGTGTTTCAACTGAACTACTTTTTGCCGTACTGGCATCATTCGCGCATCGCATATTTGCGTACTTCCTGCTGGAGGAACTTTGCTTGACGAAACTCGATTTTTTCAGCTCCTCGGTCATCGCGTGAAGACGAACAGCTGCTGCTGCACAGACCCCAAGATGGACATGTTCAAACGAGTGCTTATGTGCCCACCGACCTACTTCAGAATAGCCTACAAAATCAACCCATGGATGGGAGGCGTGGTCGATTCCAAAATGGCCATGCAACAATGGACAGAGCTGAAAAACGCTGTTGAGAAATGCGGCATCGAGGTGGATCTGATCGATCCGGTGGAAGAGCAGCCGGACATGGTTTTCACGTGTAATTCTGGACTGGCCCTGAACAACAAGGCGAGTTGATTGATGTTTATATAAAATTTTCCGGTTTTTGTTATGTACACATTTTCATAAATTTAATTTTACAAACAAACCAAAAAATGCACACTCAATAAAGGCGATTCACAGACCGTGTCGCAAAATATAGAAATGCCGGACTTAGTAATGATCAGATTCTGTACACGTTAGCTTAACAAGAATTTTTACATAAGTCAGACTAAATCGACCCCATCCGTTAATAACACCTTTTTGCTTGTGTTTACAATATGTGTATGTAGCAGTATGTCAACACCGTGAAGGCTGTTTGCGCAGGATTACATTCAAATTAAATTTCAGTACGTAATTATTAATGCAAAAAAATAAAACAATATCATGAAATAGAAAAATTGAAAGTGTTTCATTTAGCTGTTAGACCTTCCGTATGAAATTATCAAGAAATGATTCGCAGTGCCTTCTTTCATCTCTTCATATAGTTTTCAATAACAAGTTAAGGCGTGAGCCACTTCTGTGCTAGACTTTAAACCACCGCGAGACACTAGAACCATCTTTAAAGCCTTTGCAGCTTTTAATACAATGAGTATAGCGAAGATCTGATCAGAGGCGCTTCGGCCTGACCTGAAGCCACACGGCTCTTCTTGTATCTTAGAGTCAGTTATTTCACGACACCTCCTTCATAACACCTTTGCGTAGAATATTTCCGGGAGGCTCAGTGAGATAATGTCCCAATAACTGGAGCACTCCATATGGCCCCCTTCTTGAACATGGGTACTGCGGTCCTCCTTCTCTAGTTTTCTGGTGTCTTATCCGTACCCATTAAAGATCCAAAGACACG